TGTGTGGACCTATTACACCCATTGCCATGGGTGGATATAGGTATTTTATCACTTTCATAGATGATTATTCTAGATTTGGATGGATAGATCTTCTTCAGGAAAAGTCAAGTTCTTTGGATGCCTTTAAGTCTTTCAAAGTTGCTATCGAGTTGAAAACAGGAAAGAAGATCAAGTGTGTGAGGTCTGAGACTTCTTACAACACTCAAAAATAGGAGTGGACAATTGATGAGATGATTGCCATTGTTTCCCAAGAGGAAGCATCAATTAAAAAGACCAAGTCTCATAGTGTGCAATTTATCGCTTCTACTTTTGGCACTAAACATATGAAGAAGGGTTTCAAAGGCAAGTCCCATTTTGAAAAGGCGAACACAGCGAAAGCACCAATGCATTTGGAGCCTAAGAAGAAGCGCTTTAAGGGGAATTGTGCCTATTGCAAGAAATTTAAGCACAAGATAGATGATTGTTATCTTCTTAAGAAGAAGAATACTGACAAGGAAGGTATACTCCTATTTGCTCTAGCTTGTTTTGAATCTAATGTGGTTGATGTTTCTCCAAATTCTTGGTGGTTAGACTCGGGTGCCACTATTCATGTTGTGAATTCTTTACAAGGGTTCACAAGCCTAAGAAAACCAAGTGATGTTGAGTCCAAGGTTATCATGGGAGATGGAGCTAGAGCATCTGTTAAAGATACAGGAGTAGTGTCTTTATGTTTACCTTCTGGACATGTTTTGTTATTAAAAGATGTTTTTTATGTACCTTCTATAAGAAGGAATTTGATTTCAGTTTCAGCTTTAGACAAATGTGGCTACACTTTTGAATCTGGTAATGATAAACTTGTTGTGAGTGACAAACAGCTCTGTATATAGGCATTCTGCGCCGGAACGGCCCATTCCAAATCCGGAACGGGCCGTTCCGGACCCTTAAACCATGACTAAAAATCACATCCAGAACGACCCGTTCCAAAACCAGAATGACCCGTTCTGCTGTGCATTAATTACACCCAACGACCATAATTTTGGGAACGCCCCGTTCAAGCCCGTTCCCATTTAGGGTTAATGGCATATTTAATAGTCCAGAACGGCCCGTTCCATCTTGAGAACGGCCTGTTCTGGGCTATTACCTCACATACAATTTGGCAGTTTGGAACGGCCCGTTCCAAGCTACTGAATCACCCCTATCACCTTTATAAAATTACCAAAATACCCTCAATTAAAATAAATAAATAAAAAGTGAAATAAAAACTGGAGTGTTACAGTGTTAATTTTGGGTCTTCATTTAAGTTGATTTTACACAAAAACCATCATAAATTACTTATCATCTAAGTCGGTTTTACAATAAATTATCGTAAATATGTTCATATAGACTATTCTACTATGGTTATTGTTTAAACCGTTATACATTATATTCTTTTTATTTACAAAAATGTCATCACATCTTATTCTACATTATTTTTTGGTAAACCGTCTTAAATTGAATAATTTAGATGATTCAAATTGTAATAATGTTTATTCTAATGATATCTCTCATCTTTTTCTTCATTAATTTCCTTTTTTTTCTATATTACATCTTACACTAATTTATCTTTCTTCTTCCACTCAAAACTCTTAAACTTATTTATCTTTTATTTCTTCCACTCAAAACTCACCCCAACAATAGGTTTTATTTTTTCTCATCATATTTCTCATCAAACACTATTTTTTCTCCGACAAGATAGGACATCCACTTTTATACTAAGTTTGGTATTTTCTATTCTGCATTTTTTACTCTCTTAAAGCAGTTTGGTATTTTTTTAATATCCACTACTTTTTAGAACAAACAAAAAACTATTCACAGACAGAACAACTCGACAATTGTACAACTGTAAAGAAAATAAATTAATCAAGGTGGTGTTTCATTCAATTCACATTGAGAAAATCTGTGTCCGTTCGCCGAAGTATTCTCCATCATATATTATTCTGTAAACTAGTTCATGTGAAAAGGGGTTATAGTGACAATGTGAGAGATGAAAGGGGTTTGCACCAGCAGCGTCAGAGAAAAGATTAAGAGAAGATAGAAATGAGTTTGAGAAGTGAAGAAAGAGAAGATATTTATGTATTTTTTTTTTAAAAATAAATTTTAAATTATTACAATATTCCTAATAGAAATTAACTAAATTAAAAGGAACGAGTGTTATATATATATATATATTATAAATTATTAACATATTCTAATTAAAAGAAAATGTGTGACAGTGTGTTAACAATATGTAGAAATTATATTTAAAATTTATGATAAATAATTTATATTCTAGTATAAGTTATTTTTATTTATTGATAATTTATTTTACAATATTAATGTTTAGTTCATAGATAATTATGTAAAATAAAATCAAATTAGATAAGAAGTTAAAAAATTTCATGCAAATCCTTTCATCAAAAAAAAATTCTTAAAAACACTTTCGGGCAAGATAACAATTCGTGATTAATATATAGGAATTAATTTATAATTTTATAGAAAAGTATCTAAAAATGAGATAGATAATCTATAATCTCATTGAAAATTCTCAAAGAGGTTGATAGTTAACTTTAACTTTACACAAAACTATATCTTTCTATAATTTAAATTTTTTGTAAAAAAAAAAAAATAATGATGTTTTTATTAAATTTAAATTTTATTATTAATAATGATTATTTTATTAATTTGAACAAGAAATAAATTATATTTTGAAATCTTAAGAAAAAAAATGTATTTCCATACTTTTTTATTATATTATACATAAAAAAAATTACATAAATCATTAACTAAAATTATTGGTATTGTTTTAAATTTTTACTTTAAATTTTTGAAATTATATATTTATTAACCTGTCTTACTTCCCCTCAAAAAAAAAACCTGTCTTACTAAGTTTACTGACACATATAACTGTAGACTTATTAATTTATTTAAAGATAATTTTTCTTTATTCATTTAAAATATTTTATTATGGAGTATATTTTTAAACAAACTTTTAAGTCCGATTAGAATTTAAAAAATGTCAAATTTAATCTGAGAAAAGGAACGTATATATATCATACGAAGATATCTAGTTCAATATTTATAGCAAGTTATGAAAAACCTAATTCATTGTCAAATTTCCATCCTTAGTCTTAGTCACATGAGACAAATTTTTCCCATTTTTCATTTATTCTTTTATAGAGGAAAAATTGCAATTCCTTTAACCCATCAAATATTAATATATATTATGAATCTGGAATACCGAATTAATGCTCTAAGTCTTTGTCAACAAATATATTTTTAACGTATGATAGAATTCCCCGAATTATTATTATTATTATTATTATTATTATTATTATTATTATTATTATTATTATTATTATTATTATTATTATTATATGGTGAGATTGAGTTGAGTCACAGGTAAAAAAACATAAAATCAATTACTTAACTACAATTCCTAGATCTCATAAAAAAATTCTTGAATTTTAGAATTTTTTATCACAAAATAACAATCAACAATAATATATAATTAAATAAAATCAACTACAATTCCTAAAACTCGAATGTTACTATACCGGCTTACGTCCCTAAATTTACATGTAAGACCGATTGTATTCGGATGTTAAAAGTTTGAAAATCTAATAATCCGCGATGATTCTCATCAAAATCAAGAAAACAAAAGTAAATGTTATTATAAAAGGTTGATTATGTTTTGAATGACTAAATTAAGGTGCAAGATATGAAGATAGTGGTTTGACAAAAAAAACAAAGATATGAAGATAGTGGATAGAAACTAAAGAATACAATCTAATGGTCCAAAACTGAAAAAGCTATACGAAAATTGTTGCATGATATGATTTGACATGATACGATTTCTTGCATAAGATGGTGGGTACAAATTAAGGTAGATTCACTCCAAAACCAAAAGTGATGCGAAAAATGTTGTGTGATATGATTTGACAAGATACGATTATTTGAATAGTTGAGAAACTTATGAAGCATACTCCTTTCAATATGCTTTTTAATTGTCGATGAACATTCGTTAAATATTGAAAAAATTTATAGGTTTTATTTTTTATTGACTGGGCCACTTATAATTTTGCAGTTTTTAATAAATTTTAGTCATTAATTAAAAAAATGTTAAATAGTATATCATTAATCTCCCTTTAAATAATTTAATTAATTTTTATACACTAATATAAATAAATTTACACGATAAATCAATAAAAAAAATTATTAATAGTATAATGAAAAATAATTATTATAAAATTTAACAAATTTATCGTACATAATAATTTAAATTTTAAACTATCAATAGATATACATATTATTTATTAAACACTTTATGATATCTTAATTTCCAAACTTAAAAAGTGATTTTTTTATGAATATGTTTTACAAAATGTTTCAAAATTGATAACTAAAAATTAATCTGTTTTAACAAAATATGACTCTAAAGTGACTTTTAAAATAAAATAAAATCAATAACAAATTAAATTCATTGTACATTTTTATCATGTCAAATACAACATTTTTAACATTACTTCGATAGTCAACATTCCTTTACAAGGAATGAAATATTTGTTGATTTATCACCTGAACAATTATTGAAGTGTCATGTAAAAGTTATTCATGAATAATCTTTTGTCTAACCTTTTACAAAAATTTATGAACAAATTTATTAATAAAACCATTGCTTTTCTTTAAAGGAAAAATCATTTAATTAAAAAAAAAACATTACAATGAAATTAGATGGTTAATCCTTGTGGTTCAATGTAAATCAAACAAAATAATATCCACCTTAGATTTACCTCAAATGAGAAAATTAGTTTCACAACCTCAGTAAACATTTATACACCTAACGGTCTATTTGGATACGAATTTAAAAATATTTTATAAAAAAAATTCGAAAAAATTATTTTCAATAGAAAAACTTTTTAAAACATTTCTAACTTTTATCTAAGCACACCCTAATCAAGGAAAACTACTTCACCAAAACTTGGTAAACGAAAAATAAACGTTCATTAAAAGAAGAATGCATATCAGAGTGCACCAATTAATTGATAAGCCAAATGCCTATTTACAACTAGTTACTTTCAGAATTACGTGTAACAACATGCTGACAACATTATGCACAGGTACACCATTCAATTCATAGTCCCCAAAAAGAATAAAGGAACAGTGATTCTTCTTAGGCACCCTTGTCCCCCACCATCATCACTGGACTTGGATCATGGCCATTGATATGAATCCACCACCGACACAAATTTCTTGATTTGCTGCATAATTGAGGGGAGGAATCAGGTAACAGTAAAACCTGTGACAGTGGATCACACATTGAAAGTCACTCTTGCCAATTAGCTACTGCTTCTTTATCAACACACAGGCTAAAATAATATCAAGTAAATGCCTCACTGAGCCTAATTTGCACTCGGAGGCATAATAATAATGAATACAATGCAGCATAGTAAACAAGGAGACCCTTAATTAGCTGAGAGTTTTCTAGGGAAGGTGAATATGTATTATAGTACATAGTGCTAATCTTGCTGAGCTAAGGGAAATGCCCTGGTGAAAAATTTGAGGGCAAAATTATATTGGATTATATTAAGCTTGCTATCATTGTGATCATCATCATCATCATGTTTTGCTCTTATATTTTCTTTGGGGTTTCAAATCAACCACAATCACAGTGATGTTATCCTTGCTTCCTTTCTGGAGGGCGCGGTTTGATAGAAACTCTGCTGCTGCTTGTGCAGCAGGGTCAGTTCCATCTCCCCTTTCTGATGAGGGTTGTTCCAAGCCATTTTTCTTGTACCAAAGAAGTATTCGTCTCCTAGCAAGATCACACACCTCTTCGTTCGTCATAACGTCCCAGAGACCATCACTGGCCAGAATAAGACACTCATCGTCTTTTGTACGGGGAAGAAATGTAACCTCCGGTTCCGGAATGATCCACGGCTTCAGATATCTATCACCTGAAAGTCATAGCAAGGATAAGCAGATATGGTTTTGGCTGAATATACAGCTGCATAATAATTGCAGGATTCCCAGTTGCAAAGACAAGCTAGATGGCCATCATCCTTTGCATGAAAAAAAAATCAACTCAAGAACAAACAGAAATGATGTTAATTTTGTGCATAGTCCATTCAAACGTAAACTAAATTTAAGTACTTGTCCTCATAAGAGCTTTTGTGTAGTATAGACTATTACAAGCAAGATGTGCCAAAACCAAAGGCAAAAAGAGAATGACAATGACGAAGAAATCCAATTTCCACAAGGCCCTCAACACATCTAGCACAAAATTTCTAACCAGAAATACTCGAGCTTTTTAATAAACAATTGGAAATATAAGATAGCAACTGTAGCCAACCAGATATTTTCTTTATTAGAAATTAGAAACAAAGAGCAAGTGTTTTATTTATGCGGAAGTCCCAATTTAACCAGGAAAGAAGCGGCATGAATTAGGACTGTACTAGTACATTTTATAGCATTGTATTATCTGAAAAAGCAAAAACAATCATAATCTCTTACCGGACACAAAATCCTTTTGTTATGGCAACTATACTAATAATATACAAGAAATTAGGTCTGGACTCTGGACATCTAAATGCAAATTATCGATTTTACTTGCCTCCTGCAATCATCTTTGGGCTTAACTCAGCAAACCTTAAAAAAATGGTATTTTCAAAACCAAAAATAAAGTGTAGAGGAGCTTACAGCTCCATGATTTGTAGTTTTGTTCAACAGGGTACATTTTGAATAATTATTGCAGACTGACACAGCAAAAGGCAATGTTCAGAAATTCTAGAGAGGAAATGATGATTGATGAAATGGGAAAAAAAAATTTCCCTGTGCTTGGACGATTAATAAGGGAAAATAAAGGGAAAATAAAGGGAAAGTTAAACTGCTCTGAGTTAACCCAATATGCAAGGTAAAATTGTAGAAGAAATTTTTAAAATAAAAGTAGAGATATTCCCTCTCAATATTCTAATTCAGAGGGGTACAAAATGTTATTTTCAAAGGGAATGATTCCCCTCTCATTCAGTTCCACTCCATAAATTCTTAAATTTTAAATTCCCAAATAGGGGAATTATTCTCTTTCACCACCCCAGATCCAAACAAATTCTTAAATAATTTAGAAGTTAAACTTATAGTCTTACTATAATACAAAAAACCTAAGTACACTTCCTACCTCGTATATTTTTGTATATGTAATTATCTCCTCACCCCCAAGTTTCAAAAATAGCCAAGTCAAAAAATGAACGGAAGGAGTGCTCACCTTTCAGTATTGCTGTTAGGCTAGATATTTATATATTTCAAGTAAATCAAATCCATTAGAGATCAGGGTGCATACAAAGGTGATGCAATTAGCATCTGCTTTTTTCATTTGTAAAGTAAGATATAATAATAACAAACAGATTGATAGAAGGAAACCCTTGTAATCAGCCACTCTCATTAGAAGATTTTCATGAAACTCAAACTAGTCCACAAGAGAGACACCACAAATAAAGTAAAATTTATGATTCAAGTACATACCAATAGACCTTGACATTGCAAGAACACCAAATACACGATGACCATTCCATTGAATCACCTTCCCTCCAGCTGCCTCAATTCTTGCATATTCATCATCTCGGTTAGGCTAACATATCACAACCACAAATCACCTGTTAAAAATTTAAAATTTTAAAGGAGGTCTATAGCTATAAATTTGTAATCGGAGCAACTTACTTTATGGTCCACTGATAAAGCCATAGGTTCTTTTCCACGACATAGAACCGCTCCTGAATCACCACAATTTGCAACTATGATATGAGATGCACAAATAACAGCAACAACAGCAGTGGAGCCAACAGTTTCTGGGGCAACAGGTTCATTATTAACTTTTCCTCCAACTTCAGCATCGACCTTTAAGAAACAATTGGTGAAAGTTTTTTTCCACTGATCTTGGCAATCATCCTTAGTAATCCCATTGATTAGACCTTCCTTGACAAATTCTATTTCCTCAGTCAAGGCCAAATGGATATGTTCACGACAATACTTTGCAACCTGAATGAGGAAAGCAAGCTCTGTGTGAAGGGTATACCACAGATAAAGCTAAAATCATTGGACACAAGAATCATGATAATAAAGAACAAAACTAAAATTTACCTGAGAGCCACCATGGCCATCATAGACTCCAAAGAAATGAGTCATCTGCTGATTAAAACACTTGTTCATTCCATCAAGTACCCGATTACCAATTAGCATTTGAATAGGAATTTTCATAAATCGAGGTACAGTTGCAACTGCATCTTCCATCTCTGGTCTTCTTCCACACAGAGATATGAATCCATAAAGTGGGGTATAATCCAATTCGAAAACACTTCTACCAACCGTTCCACTCACCACCTTTTCCTGAGGCAACTGATGAAGAACAACTGCAGAAGGCTTTGGGCCAGATCTAACACCAGTCTCTTCTTCAAGCCTCACTGCCACAGAAAGAGGTTCAGTCATAATATCTGTCGCAACATTTGACTCCCCCAAGTCAACAACCTCAGGAACAATATTGGCAGCACAGATGCTCTTCTCTACGTATGCAGAACACGGTGTCCCAACATCTGAAGTAGCATCAAAACAAAAGGACTCCTCTCCACACACACTACTGTTCTCACTAACTGCAGAAAGAGAACACGAGCTATCAACAACATGGTCGCCTTCCAATGACAACGAATCCTCCTCAATTTCCATGGTTAACTCTTCATCACCAGCAACCAAAGCACTTCTATTTTGGGATATCATATCCAACAAAGGACTCTCAACTACCCTATCACATGCTTCAGTAATACCAACTTCATCCTCCAAATTGCCACTATCATGACAATCCTCAGAACCCGCAACCGTCTCGGTGAAAACCTTAGTTGCAGAATTAGATAAAAGGCCTGTATCCGCCATCAGCTTAAATCTGGATACATCCATGTGGGTAGCTATGGTTGGTTTATCACAGACTGAATTACAATTACCTACTCTTAATGGCACTGCAACCACAAAGGACATCTCCTCCATTGAAATCCCTATCTAGGTAGGACAAAAAGTTACCCTCCCACCGCTCTGATATCACAAAACCTGTCATACTTCAACTAATTGGCCACCTGCTTTTGTGATTGAATAGGATCTTAGAATGTGAAAGGGTGGCATTTTCCATTCCTAATGAGCCCTATAAGACAAAAGAGGCAAATTCAGGCGATGCAAGGCATGAACTAGCTAAAAGGTGGTGAAAATGAAATGGGGTACTCAGATCTGGTCAACATCAAAGGATCCCAACTTCCATTTATGGAATTTTTTTTCAATCATAAAAAGCTATGCCAATTGCTACACCCTTCTCAAGCATTACCAACTTCATCAACCTCTGTCAACTCTAGTGAGAGAGAAACATCCTGAAAAACATTAAAACAAAACACCAAACTTTATCTGCACAAAAACATATTGCACTCACAAATACTAAACCCCACCAGTTAAAAGGAAACAAATTTCAAAAACAAAAGCACCCCTTATCTCTAAACACAAGAAAGAAGAAATAGATCATGAGAAAGAAACCCACAAAAGGTAAAGTCTCAAGAATCACAAGGAAACCCTAAAAAGATGACACCCTTTTCCACACACCACCATGAGTTGCCTGGATCTGAGGCAACGCAACGCATCACAGGCGCGCGCGCTCTCTAGTAAACAATTATAATATTAACAATTATTAATATTATTATTATTTATTACAACAAAATCAATGAACAAAAGAAAGCATAAGAAGTGCAAAGAAAATAAAAGAATTAGAAGAAGAGTGAGTCACTACCTAATTTTGTCAACGGTGTAGGGTCTGGTTGGTTGGTTCCTTCCCTTCTCCCTATCTCACACACACACACACTCTTTTTTTTTTTCTCTATCTTAATTCCACACACTTTGACACCTGAAACCCATGGATTGGAAGAAAAGGAACAAAACATCATTAAACAACAAAAGCCAAGACATGGGTGTTTGTATTTTTTTTTTTCTTTTAACTCTGACCAGTTAAATAATAACAGCTCAGCTACGAACCATTATTTTAATGTTATGATTATTGACTTTGAATTATCTGAGTTTTGGATGTTCATTTCAGAAAAATAAAAACTATTGATGCTTGACACGTAGTCTTCGTATTGATTGACACAATTATTAGGAGAAAATTTATGATCTTGATTTGAAACTGTTATTAAAAAAAACCAATAAATCACTAAAATAGGTAAGTGCACAAGTTTAATTAATTTAATTTTAAAGTGTACTATATATAAGATGTTCATAAATTTGATGGCATGATTCGTTGTTGCATGACATTACAAATCGTTAACAGGTTAATTAGTTGTATTTATACATTAAGATATTATTTCTGTGACAACAACGAAAAATATGTTGCTGATTATAAATTATTTAAGTAGTTACATATTTCAATTTTTTCATATTAATTTCTAACTTGAATTAAATATTCTTTAAACAAAATATTAATAATTGTTGGTTACTTTTATGAATTTATATAAAGGGAGTATTCAATCTTATCTTTAAACAAAATATTTATTTAAAAACATAAATATAAATTATATGTTCAAAAAATTTATTTATTATAAATTTTAATTATATAAAATAAATGTTTATTTTATGATACATATTTAAATACTAGTCAATGATAATAAGTTAATAGAAGTTGAAAATTTGTTGCTAGATAGCAAACAAAAGAAACAATGGAACATCAAAAACTTTCATAAAACCCTCCAAGCAGAAACTTGATTTCCTTTATGAGACCAATCAAACTTGTCACCAATCTCACTATAAGCTAAAATTTAAATAGAAAAATGTTGGATCTTTAATCCAATGTTGATCTTATATGTGAATAATTATATATTAAAGATACATAATGTCAAATTAATATGATCTAATGACGTATAAATTATTTTGACAATTATGTATTTGAAAGGTTATGAGACCTTTAATGTGTGGTAACTAAAGAGTAATTCTATTTTGTGATAGGTTAAAATAGAAATACCAAAAGACCTTATGACGGTCTATAAATAGGTTAGGTCCCCAGATCATACTACATTCTTTACTTTTTTGACATCCCATTATCAGAGAGAGACAGAGAGATAATTAAAGGATTCTCTCAAGAGAATACGTGTTAATCTAGAAGGCCAAACCGTACAACTCTCTTATCATCATGAATTCAGGTATGCTTCCTGTACCTGTTAGAGGGCACACTCAATCTTCTGTTGGGAAGGGCCGAACGAGATCTTCTAATGCACTCTTCGGAGAAGGGGGAGGTACCTGCAAAAGGCACTCCGACGCTCAAGTTAGGGCAAGCACTATTTTCTAGGGTAATTAAAATGAACAGTGACATACCTCGCTACAAGCGACCTATTTATAACACCTGACATGGGCCTGAGTGTGGTGGGCCTATTCTGACACTTACCAAATTAGGTAATACGGTGTTAATCGGCAGGTTATGCCTTAATTGTGCTTTGTTCCTTGTTAACTATGATCGCTATCCTAATTACTCAATGTTGACTTTTGGCCGAGACCGAAACATTTTCTCTCGGCTTTCGACCGAGCCGATAGGGGTGGAGTACAGCTTCGAACTCCTTGCCGAGTCGAAGTGGTATCTAGGCTGCGTCATGTTACGTGTCGGTCCATGTGGCCGATCCAAGTGGTCAGGCCGAGGTGATGTTTGGGCTGCGTCGATATCTGATAGGACATGACGTGTCGATCCACGTGGCCGGTCCACGTGGCCGAGAGGGTCCTTCCGATACACTTGCGCTTATTATTTCTAGTGATTAACATGATAGATTTTATATTTTATATAGATAATAGTTTTCATCAAAAGCTTAAATTTGGTTCTAACAAAAAATTCTTAAAATCATTTCTAATATTATATCCAAGCTAAAACAAGAATGACAAGAATGGAAAACATGACAACCATGCTTGAGAAGATGAATCACAACTTGCGAGTCACGTTCCACAAAGAAAGACTTGAAGTTACGTTGCAGTGCAATTTCAATACCCAAGAAAATAGCTAACATTTTTTGCATGAGTAATGAAAAAAATAAGAGATGACTTTTATGATAGGAATAACGGTCGAAAGGGAGTATTTAGAATTATCTTTCACCATCTTTAGTAGTTTCGAAGGGCTTACTACTCTTTCTTGTCTAAATGAGACTTGTCATTTTTTGAAAATTTAAAGGGGTTATTATTACCCTTCCTTGTCAAAAAAGTTATATATATATATATATAGGATTGGGTAAGATTGTTAGAGGTTGTAAGTTATTTCATATCTAACACTAATATCTTTATTTCAAACATTCAAAGTTATAACATCATGGAACTAATATATAAAACCTTTCTCTTCACCCGATAATTAGGAGTGACAATATGATAGATTGGATAAAAAAAATCATTAATTCATATAAATCTATTAAAAATTCATTTAAAAATCTATTTTATCCAATTCATTTAAAAAAAATCTAATTCATCTATTAAATTTTTTTTATAGATGGGTATCCAATCCATTCATACAAATAATGTTTTGAAAATTAAATAATTTTTATTTTTAAATATTTTATTTTTCTCATTTTTTTTATAAATCATTACATTCTTACATAGTCTTTTAAAATAAACAAGACTTTTTTATATGAAAATATCTTTTAAAAGTAATGGATGAATCACCAACCATCTCTAAAATTAAATAGATGAATCAGATTTGATCTTTTATCTTATTTTTATTATAATTGATGGATTGAATATATTTACTTATGGATGGATCAATTGAATAATGGATAAAAGAAATTTTTTGTCACTCCTATCCAACATGACAAATTCATAAACCTATTAAAATTCTCAATAGTATGATCAACATTTACTAAATATTATAATTTTATAAATATAATTACATATTCAATCATACAATTTGGAGAAAATGAATTTATACATGGGGTGTACATACCAACATATCAAAAGTTATAGGAGGAAAAACATTTAGAGGGTCACATTCATCTCTAAAAGCATTTAGAGGGTTACACTTATCTGAGAGCATTGGCCCCTAAAGCATAGTTTTAAAACTTGGTTCAATCTAACTAATAAATCAAGCATGCTTGTAGTTTATGCAACGATGCGACATATCACTATATTTATTATAGTTTAGTTACTATGTAACGAAAAACATAAACATCAATTAGCTTAGTATTAATATATAAGCAATACTTGGATATTCATACATTAGATATATGTAGAGTGCAAAAAACATAAAATAGTTCCTGTTATTTTTAACTCATGTAATTTTGAAAAATCTTGTTTTAATCGTTCAGGTTATCAATAACATATTTGAATGATAGATTGAGACAATCAATTATACAGTAACAACTGGATTTAGTATGATGTTTTAATTGACAAGGACAATAGTAAGTAGATTTTATAGCACAGTATTTGATAGATTTCTTAGCAAAATTTAAGTTAAAGACAAACATTTTTTTAAAATTATAAAAATTAAAAAAAAAATTAAATTTAAGAAATTAAAAATAAATTACCTTACACTTAAAATATATTTAAGTCTAAAATAAATACAAACATGTATAACTTAAAATATATTTAAGTCTAAAATAAATACAAACATGTATAACAAAAGGGATAATAGTGTTTTAGTTGTAAGATTTTTTGAAATTAAAAAAAATAAAAAGATTAATTTTAAATTTAAGAAACTAAAAATAAATTATCTTAAATTTAAAATAAATACAAACATGTATAATAGAAGAGATAATAGTGCTTTAATTGCGGGTACAAAGAATAATCTGAAAGTCTAAAATAAATACAAACATGTATAATAGAAGGGATAATAGTGCTTTAATTGCAAGCATAAAGAATAATATGAAAGTACAACTCACAGATATAACTATAAGTTGGAAGGAAAAAAAAAAAGTTCTCGATGAATCATGTGACCTATAACTAATACCGTGCAGGGGTAGTAATTAGGTGTGATGAGTCATTGGATCTAAGAAAATTAAATGATGAGAAAACTATTCAGAAAAGTTCTATAAATGAGAAAACCTTCAAAGTTTAAAAGCTGATGTCGATAGTGAAGTTGTTAATCTTATGACCATTTGTGATAAAAAAAAAACACTTGCGTGAACTTCTCCTTGCGGGTGCCCTTCGCTATCCTTCCGTATTGACATTGATCTCGCATTATACTTCAAATGAAGTTTTATCCTGCATTAGGGGGAGTTACTGGCATTTGTGTTGCAGGTTGAGAAAACAAAGAGGAGGGTGGATGGGCGATTTCTGAAACAATATTCATGAATTGAAAGGGAATAATTGTTGTGTTAGTGGCAGATTTGAAAAGGGCTAATATTAAGAAGTTGAGTTTTAGTGGTATAATTTGTTTAACATTGGAGAGTGCAATGAGTTTAAGTTCAAGCAGCATCCGGTAGATTTGGGTTGTCGACTAAGAAGTGAATTAACTAATTTTGTTGTGGTAGGGGTCTATTAAGATTGAGTATGATTATTCTTAGTTGATTTCAACTTTGATGGCTTTAACTAGATGATTTTATTGATTGCGAATACACATTTTAGACTTTTTTCTGCAACTTTTGGTTGGACTCATCTATAATATGTCTCAAACTGATCTTTCGTGTTAACCAGAAAAATTAAAGCAAAAATACCAGAGGGTATAACCATAAACTACCATTGCAATCATTGACCAAAGACAAAATAGTACCAATATAAAGTAATAGTTTTATTTGAGAAAAAGAAAACATTTTAGAATAGGAATTACAAATAAAACTTGAAAACTAAAGAGTTAAAATTGGCATCTAACAGAATTTGGAGGCATACAACATAGTTTTATGTAACAAAGTGGATTAAGCCTTCTCAAAACATTCATTATATATGCATACTATATTGGAGGCATACATCAGAGTTTTATATACAAATCAAAAGAAGA